AAACCTTCTCACTCACACATCAGAAATCCCATTAAAACTCTTAACTGGAAGCTATAATATAAACAGAAAGAACCTGTAGGGTAAGACTATACACACACACACACACACACACACACACACACACACACACACACACACACACACACACATATATATATATATATATATATATATATATTCAGATAAATTTTTTTAAAAAATCAAAGAAGAGCCCTGACACAACATTATGAGACAAGAAACTTCCAAAGATGTCATTGAGTTCAGGGCAGTTGAATCTCTTAATTCTCAATGTTTGAGACAGCATGAGCAACACCTATGCAATCTCAAACCAGACAAAATCCCAGTAACAGGAGCAAAGCCCCATCTTCAGCTAAGCAGATCTTGGCAACTGATGACTTCTGAGAGGAGAATCACTTATATTAAATGTGCATACTCTGGTGGGTTGACGACCCTCTGATGATGGTCCACAGATGAAAGAGTATGAGGACAGCACGAATTGGACTTGATAGGTAGAAAAAAAATAATAAAATACAGCTGAATGGGTTGTGAAATAGAGATAGATCTGGGAAGAGTGTAGGGAGGAGGAGGACAGGGGTGAAAATGAACAAAACATTTTGTACTAAATTCTAAAAGAAGTAATAAAAAAATCAGAAAAATGTACCACCTTAAGAGCCTAGTTATCCTACTGTATTATATGAACTTTGAGATGAAATGTCTTTGGGAATATTTTAATTACAAAAGCAACTTCATTACAATGACTGTAGTTTTATATGAATAATGTAACAAGCATTTTCATCAGAGTTTCAATATTTTGTGGCTAATAATTGACAACTGTACATCACACGTCCCTCAGTCAGCATTTTATTAGTTTTCATGACTGAGTTTTGAAGAATACTACAACCTTAAAAATAAAATGTTAATTACATTTTAAAGATTAGGCAACTGGGACAGAAAGATAAAGTAAATCAGAATGGCTATGTTTAAGTACACATGTGGTGCCCCCATTTAAACCTAGCAAACATATTTACATAGCCTGTGTCCTTACCCTCTACTCCTTTACATGCCACTTTGAGAAAAAAATTATTAAACTGAGAAGCTGATCTACAAAATAAGATGCCAATAGATCTTTGATCTCTTGAACAGATCTAAGGGTAGGTATCTGAAATCTCTCTTAGCTTGTGATGTCAACGGCATTTGCCTTCTCTTACCTATGACATCAATATCCTACATCCCATCTCCATTGTAGTAGATGTTCTCCTTCTGTTTCTGATTCTGACTTTCTTTTTCTCATCTCATAAGGGTAACTGTCATATTGAATTAAAGGCCAAACCTACATCCACATGATGTCACCTGAACTGTACCTTCAGTAATCTGATGTCCAAATAAAGTGAAAATCTTAGATTCCAGAAGGACATGGAATTTAGAAAACCGTGCTATCCAGTATTAACAGTGAATAAAGGGGGTGAATTAATAATGACTGCTATGTTTCCAATTGTATGACAGAATAGACTGTGGGTCTTTTAATTTTGTGGGAAGATTGAGAAACAAGCAAACTGGGAGAGATTCCAGATGAATCTAAGCTCTATTTGTCCATGGCAGTGTGAGATACCCATTAGACACTGAAGTGTCAAGTCAAAAAGGCAACCAAGGGTGTAGATTTTGTGTCTACCCGAGTAAGTTTGAGATGTTAGCTGAAACTCGGCTTAGAATAGGGCCTGCCAAACTGGCAGTGGTTACTCAGGCTTAGACCCATGCATAGAGTACTGTGTGGCAGCAAAACTTCCACAAGAACAAATGAGAGCAGCAGGCGAGTTATGGTAAATCAAAGGTTGATATGGTTGGAGATTTCAGATGAGGAGAAGTATATTTAAATAACAAGGATAGTCAACTTTAGCAATTATCACAGAGACACTGGCTAAATGAAAGCAGGTGAGTGAGATGACAACTGTTGAAATTCTTCAAAAAATATAGCTTGTTTTTTTGTGATGAGCAAAAATGTGCCTGGAGTGGGTTTCAAATTTAAAGGACTATCTAAAGTGAACCAAAGAAGTTGGAACAATTTAGAAGTACTACATGGAAGAGATTTCCCTTTTAAGATGGACATTTCAGCACATATAAGGCTTTCATTACAATTATGGTATAATAAGGAAAGGGAAACACTTGATATAAAAAGTATTAATTGTTAAATATTAGTTAGTGCATAAATTCAGGAAATGGAATGTATAATAAAAATGTAAAAATGAAATAAATACTGTATAAATGAAAAAAAGTTGCTATAAAGAGAGAGAGAGAGTTCATCACAATGTAACAGTCACTACAAAGCCAGAGGAAATTATGATCAGAGCATCACCTACAACTTTCTTCACTGGACAATTGTAGCTAATAGTTTTGGTTGTGGTAGAGTACTGATATGTTAGTGTAAAGGCATTGGAAGTACACAGACACAGTGAGATGCTGCCGTGTTCTCTCTAGTTCATTAAGGTTGTTGCTAATGCACTATAAAAAAACCTTAGTGAGAATCTTTGCAACACATTATGGGTGTGAAATTGAAATAATGAGAGAATAAACATCTCCCAGAGCATCACTTAGCTACCATGTGACAGAAGTGTGTCACAGATTTCACATTTGTAATTATCTTTCTAGATGACTAGAAAATGTACCACCCAGTATAGCATCTATTTGAGTGAAAGTTACAGATGCTGTAAGTGCACAGGAAAATAAGAATGAACCAAGATTTCCAAAAACAAAAGGAATATACATAAATCTAAATTTTCTTCTGTGCCTTGTTTTTTGTTTAATCATCATTTTAAAACATTGCATTTGATTTCGAAATGCTCTTCCACATTTATCATTAGTATATCTATTTTATTTTCATTGTTTAGATTTTTTAAATTTATTTTTTGCCTTATTTTGTTTGCTTTTAAACAAGGTGTCATCAGGTAGCCCAAACCACCTACAACTCATTATGCAGGTCAGCCTGGCCTCAGATGCTTGACTATCAAGCCTCACCTTCAAGTTCAAGCAATATTGGTGTGCATCCCCACAGCAGTTAGTGGTATGATAATTTTAAATGTCCATAATAATTTTACATTAACACTGAATAATCTTTAGAAAGTTTGAAAAATTACAATAAAGACAAGACAATTTAAATATGCCTAAAGGATTATTTATTGAAATGACTGGAAAGGAAATAGGTTCTCAAAGAAATAATAGCAAATCCAATTGCACAAACTATTTTGTATACATTATTGACATGCGTTTTCAACTCAATATTAATCTTTTACATTATATGAAACACAATTGGAAAGTATAAAGAGTTCATGACTCAAATTCAAATGAAATGAATACCATATAATACATAGAATAAATGAAAGAATAAAATTTCTTTTTTTCTATGTAGATTCATTCAGAAATATATCATTTTTGGTAGCATGATCCAAAGATGAAAAAGTTGATGCATTTCCCGTCTCAGTCAATTCTGTGAAAGAAAGGATGTAGAATCAGTTTTGTGTTGTTAAATCAGTGGTTCTCAACCTTCCTAATGCTGCAACCCTTTAATAGTGTTCCTCATGTTGTGGTGACCCCAACCATAAAATGATTTCGTTGCTACTTAATAACCGTAATTTTGCTACTGTTATAAATTGTAATGTAAGTATTTGATATGCAGGATATGTGATATGTGACTCTTGTGAAAGGGCCCTTGAACTCATATTGGGGTCTTGACCCACAGGTTGAGAATCCTAGTTTTACATTCATTCACCTCTCACCATTTATAGTCCAAAAAAACCAATTGTTTTACTACAGGTACTCTATGTTCTTTTCCTTAGAGGCATATAATTTCTATTCAATGGCATATCAGCTCACAAGAAATTATTGCAAAATATCTAGTCTTTCTTCAGTCCTAAATGGTTTTGTAGTTTAGAATCTCAAAGCTACATTATCTGCCCTATTGTATCTTTTAAATACCTGGACTGAGTAATTTTCTTTTGAATAATGAATTAAAAAACAATTTTAAATTTAGTAAACATAAAGTTTCTGAAACATAAGGTATGCATTGAAATTAAAATTGACCTGTAACAAAAGCTACAGTGTGTTCACATAAAATATGAGGAAATTTTATTTTTGAGTTTCATATAACTTAATGATACAATATGCTAAGATAAAAGCTTTTGGAATGAAACAGATCTATATCAATGGCAAACAAATAAAATTAAAATTTCCTTGAAATTTAAGCTATGCCTAGTGTCATGTTGTTAAGAAGCTGTCAACCAGTGAAAACACAGTGATAAGTAAGTTAATACTTTGATGAAATTTGCTACTCCGCTGTGTTTCTATAGGAGAATGAAATGTAAAAAGATGTCTACAAAAATAATCATTCTATCTTCAATTTCCAGAAACTTACCAAAAATGAGGAGGAGATATTAACCTGGAAATCCTCTTAGACCTTAAAAGCAAACAAATACAAATAAATAAGTATACATTTTCCCCTCTTAGTGTAACACCTGCCTAAAGTATGTCCAAGTTAGCAAAACATCTCTATCTTTTGACTCCAAGTATATATACTCAAAAAGAACAAATAAACTGCAGTATGTGGATAATACATATGCACAAGGAAATTTTAGAACTCTACAAAAGAAACTGTTATTCAAATCTATTGAATTGCCAAGTTTAACTGTGGTTTAGTCAACCTTAGTACTCTCAAGATCAGAATTCCAGTGAACTAGTTAAATCAGCATTCTCATAATTGCCTATTTCCAACAGGCCATTACTTTTGTCTTGGCAATCATAACAGTTCCACCAGAATCTGTAAGTCACTAGGCACTGGGAATCAGGTTGAAGTGAAGATCTCTAGGTGATTCCATTTCATAGCTCACACTGAGGATCCTCGATTTATTAATGAATTATATATACTCTTCCATTCTAGAGCTCCTGTTTCTTCTATTAATGTCATCATATGCACATTTTGAGAGGCTTAGAAAGGGAAGTAAATTTATACTTACAGTGACTTGGTGAAGTGATTGATTGGAAGGGAGCAGGAGGGTGGAGTTAAGCAGAAGGTCTAGGTACTGCAGAAGGGCTTGGACAGCCATATCACTTTGAAGAAAAGGTGCTACTTGCTGGAGAAAGTACAGAACTTTGGAATGAGGAACAGACAGGGGGGCCTGAGCAGAAACCACAGGAGTCTGAGGGAAAGCCTGCAGGACTTGTGCCAGGAGCTGGGCCTGAGCCTGAGGAATGTGCTGATTGGCAAGGTTAGCAGTGCTGAAGACTTGGCTAGCTAGACGGAGCACAGTTTCAGCGTTGACGTAGGGTATGGCTTTGGTTTTGGGAAGGATGGTGGCTTTAGCTTTAAGGAAGTTTTCCAGGTCAGGAGAAATGACAGGCCCGAGAGAAGGCACCACAGGGGGTTGAGCAATAGGCTGGGCGTTTTGTGCAATGGGAGTGCAAGAGATGGGCTGATCATAAGGAAAGGCCTGAGGCTGGGACTGGATGAAGGGGGGAATTTTATTCTGGAGCACATCCTAGAAAGAAGAGATTCACCCTTTCAGTCCACAATTCAGCAGCAGCATCTTTCTTAATTAATTAATAATCGTTTAGCCAATGACAATTGAGCAAAGGAGTGAATTTGCTCAAGAAACTATCATGTTTCATTTGCTTAAAAAACTATCTTGGCCTAGCTGGGTATGGTGTCTAATGCCTCTAAATCTATCAGTTGGGAGCTTGAGGCAGGAGGATTGCTACAACTTTGAGACCAATCTGAGCTAAATGGTGCATTCTAGACAAGCCTAGGGTACAGAGTAAGAAGCGATCTCAACTTCTTTTTTTTTTTTAAGATACACAAAATAAGCCTTTAAGAAAATAGTTAAAGTATTCTCAAAGGATTTCACCCTAACATATTCTACTCATAGACTAATTATGGTGCAAAATTAAGTTGATGTTCAGGATTTTTTTATTATCTTTTCACTTTTTTCAAAGCCATTTCTACATCTATCTGTAGTATATATTCTTATGTACGAGACAGCACTGATTTTTTCAACCTTTGTAAATTGATAATAGAACAAATTCTTTGTATAATTTAAGGCAAATTAATTTTAAAAGGTGTAGTGGGACAATACTAAAATTTATTTTATTTGATTTTAAAGAAAAAAATCAGCCTTAATTTGTGACTAAATTCTGTGAGCTACTTAGCATTGGTCAACTTCTAGAATGGCTTCTCTGGGTTTTCTTAACCTTAAATAGTTTTCTTAACCTTTTAAAGAGGTATCAATTTTTTAAATTTTTAGTTTGATTTAGAAAATATAATGTGAGCAGCAAGCAATTTACTACAGAAAAAAAATTCTCAAAGTTAAACTATTATACTGCATTGAATATATGGCCATACATGTGATTTAATAGTGGAAAACCATCGATTTGAAGGCAAGCTCTTATACTTTCTGTCACAGCATAAGCAGTGGTTCATCTGGTTGTTCTATATCTCACTCATCCTATCTTTGGACTAGAAATACCATCAAAACTAGGTAAACATAAAGTACAAATGTTACCATAAGCCAAAAGTTGAATTAAAACCCTTGACTCAACTGAAAGCCAATTAACTACATCCATGGGAAAATTTTAAGAATGTTTTCAGCTTACAGGTAAAGAAAGGGAACTACAAAGAGACTAATAAGCAAGATTATTCAGCCGGTAGGTGGTCAGTTTAGGATTTCTGCCACGTTGTTGATATTTGCTTTTATCATCAGATTCATGTAGAAAATAAAAGGAACATGGCTTCTACTGGAGAAATGCATATGCTGAGTATTAAGAATACACAATACCACTAGTAACTGCAATCATGATGTAGAAAGTGTGCTGACACCCGAGTGTGAATGCGTAGCCCTGGTGGTGTATGACCACTCTTTACTCTGAACATGCACAGGGCATTACGCATCACAAGAAGGAGACGCACATTCTTCACGAGCAATTTACCTTTGCTTGCAGTTGTTGCATCTCCTCCACCATTTGAAACTTCTGACAGAAATAAAGTGAACATTAAAAACCTCCAAATTGTCAACTTCAATACCAAACCATGGATATTAAATATAATGGGTTTACCTCATCGGTGTGTTCGGTAGACTGCGTCAGAAAAAAAAAAAAAAGAAACATTGAGTTTTACTGAGTAAATAATAGTTTAAATGTATATTAAAAATTAAAGTATTTGGTAGCTGCTTTGATAGATTCCTAGTGGGAAAGTTGGTGAAACTTATAAACCACTTAAAACATTTTGTATAAGCCTATTGTGTACAAAAAAAAAAAAAAAAGATGAGTGCAGTCAAGAGAGAAAAGTGAATTAGTGGGCACATTATTTAAAGAGACATCTGAACAATGCTAGTTGCCCCTACAACCATAGTTCTTTCTCTGGCTACAAATGATCTTTAAATTCCATTTGATTCTTAAAACCAAACGCACAAACGTAGCTGAAAATACAGTCTAATGACAATACATTCTGGAAGTCACTCTTAGTTCACTTGCTAATATGTTAGCTTCCAAATAAACGATAAGAAATAAATACTTCCTCTGAAGAGAAAAGTATGTATTTGTATTCTCCAGTAAACAAATGGTAACACATACAAAAAAGTAGTTCAAGGTAAAGACGTCTATGTGATACTCTCAGGTATATTTCGGACTGCAGTGCATCTCACTTATTTTTATTTACCTACATGACAACTTTAATAACCAAATGCATCCCTTCTACAAGCAGGTTTACGTACTACAGAACAAGTATGTTATTTCTCCTGGCATCTGTCTTTACTTCAGGTTGTAGCTCCTAGCCAATGAGTGACCCACAAAAGGCACATAGTAAATATTAAAAACACAGGTCAAATTAGGGAGAGCTCTTAGCAGAGAACACAACTGTGAGCTTCTCAAATAAAAGGGGTATAAGAGGCAGTGAAAACACTTCAAATAATAAACCAACTTGGTAAATTCCAGAATATGAGGCTATCTAGATATTTTATGCCTCAAATATAATGCAAAGCACATTTACCTAAGTGGGATATGGTATAGTGTGACTAACACAATGTAACTTAACAGAAAGACAACACTTCACTGTTCTAAGTCTAGAAGCTACCTCTGAGTGACAATTGTCTTACCTCACTGTTGGAAATGCACTCAGAATGTAAAACAAATTAATAATACATATATTTTCATTTTTGGATCCAATTAGGACTTCCAGATAATGTAGTTATTATAGGGTTAGAAAATGTGCTTAATTAAACCTCTTACCTCAGAGGATATGCTGAGTGATTCCTTTTGTAAAAAGAAATAAACAAACAAACAAAAACATTATTAGTGACTATATCTACCTTGTTACTAAACATGCTTCCTATTTGACTTTTATGTCATCTACCTGTTTCAGAAACTTAAAAAGCAAAAAAAAATTGTTATATGCCTTTTAGAATCTTGAAAGCTTATATTTACTCTCTCTCTCTGATAATTTAGCAAAATTTTATTGGTACATTCTTACATTAGGTGAATTTGTGCATAATTTTTGATGAGTGACAAAAAAGAAGTTACTTTAATTTCTACTAAAATCTTTTTTATTATGCCTATGAGACTACCACAATTCTCAATTGTTTTCCTTCCTCTGAATATCTTTGGACAGACACAGTAAGACTTGACCTGGTCATCTAAAGAGATGCATACACTCTGTCACCAGAATGAGATACTCAAGTTGCATGTATGAGTCTACTTCTGAGGAGTCATATTTTTTTCATGTATTTCTATTTCTAGTGCCTTGTTTTGTTTCTTATTTGTCTGTTTTACTTTTTGTTAGGGAATCGGTGGTACAATAATGCAGTAAACATTTGTCCCAGCTTCGAGACACTACAGAAACTTTGTGACACTACGTGACTCTCAAAGAAGCAGTGATTAAATAGATTTGAAACTCTCCATTAATCATACATTGAGCTGTCACTGCTGTTACTGTCTATAAGTGAGCAGACCGAATTCTCTACATCTTAATTACTTAGGAAGCTTCTTTACATACCTCCTTTGCGAGAGCAAGTGCCACAAGGCAGGCAAGGATAAAGACCTTCATGGCTGTCAAGTCCTTTGAATGAAAAGATGAAGAAGTCATAAGAGATTAGTCAGTCTATTAAAGTCAATCCCTGCTCTGGCTCCTAAATACTCCTATTACTAAACATCAAATTCAGACTTCAGCAGCCACCAGCAGGATTTTCAGCTCACAGCTTTTATCCATTCTTTTTTGCTAGTTCTCTTTTGTTAACAGGAATATAGATGACTTACAGAAGCTATGAAGAAGTCATAACTATGGAAACCTTTGATGATCCATTTATTTAAAACTATTTAGCACTTACTGGAGGCCAGACAGTGAAGAGAATATCAAGATCTCAGCACTAGGGAGCCTCACTTCTAGAATGAATTGATAGACAATGTTTATAAATTGCTGCATTGCTTGTGAGTGATCTCAGTATGAAAAATGAAAATTTTTAATATTTTGACAAAGCATTCTTTCCAATACTTGAAGGTGGAAAATTATCCTACTAGTGAAAATTATTCTATTAGTTTTTGGTTTTTCTGACGGATGTTGCATAATTCATTATTAACCTGTATTTCTCTAAAGCCTCCTCTGTGGGTTTCCATATAATTCAATTGTATTAGTTTAAAAGAAAGTTGTACCCTTATAGATTATGCATGTAGGGAGAATCACACGGCAGTTCTTATATTTTATCCTTACCATTTTATATACCTATTTTTAAACAAGAACGTTATTGTTATCTGGTATGGTATAGGCCACTGTTCTTTCAATTCATCGTATTTCCATGATCACTGCTTCTAAGTCATTTCTGATTTCTAGAATTCTTTTACAAATAGAAGACTTTGTTTCTATTTTCCACGTGTCTTAATATTTTTTGAAATATTATGAGCTAGATCAAGAATTCCAAGAGCCTGGACAAGTTTTATGCTTACTATCTTTTTGTTCACAAACATGTAATTTGCAGCTTCTAATTGTTGCCTTATTAATAAATATCATCTATCTATGATATAATTTGAGTGCATTTTATTACTAAAATACATCAAATCAAATAAGATAGCTTATAAGAAATAAATTCTCAGTCTCCTCTTTACTCATTGTCCTTGTATTTATTATTACATTTTCTCATTTTTGCGAAGCTAATAGTCAATGTATTTGTATCAAATCTTTCTAGGCAATTTCTGCATTTTTAAGCCTAGCTTTTAAAATAATCGTATCACTTCTTAAATATTTAATTCATAAAACTGTATTTAGGTAATTGTATTATTTCTATGACCTAATCTAGTTTTAAATAAATTATCAAAATAATATGTCAAAATTATGTCTGAAATTCTTACCTTTAGTGGAGGCCAAGAGTGAAGGAGAAGCTGGGTGGATGATGTTCTATCTGCTTCTGTGACTGTATATATACTGTATTTAATGACATGCTAATTTTGTGGTTTGTCAAACATTCAAGAAGTCCCTTCAATTCCAAGAAGACCACATGATTAAAAAATGGTTTCTTTCAATTGTCCGTCCCAAGAAATTCTGGGGTACATTAAACAAAGCAACAATTCAGAAGCTGGTGTAGGAAACGCATCCAGGAAATGAAATTGTCCAATAACTTAGAATAACTGGTTGGCCCTCCAGCCTAGTACCCAGTTGCTGTAGATTCAGTTCTCTTTGCATCCTGGTGGGGGCTTTCACCTCAGTTGTGGGGCAATTATCTATAGCTATCGGAGATACACAGCGCTTTACAGAGGTCAGGATTTCATCTTAACCTGAGCACTAAGAGCTCAATGATGATAAGATAGCTTAGTCATGTGCAGCAAACTCTTTATCACTCACATTCACCGGATTTGGGAAAAAATAGATAATTCAAACCAATATTTACTACACAAAGCGATGTATTTTATACAGCACTAAAACAAATCAGAGAAGGAATCTGTAAAATTCGTATAGAAAATAAAACTATGAATCTGTATCAAAAGGTTTGCAAAAAGGTCAGAGAATCAGACACTAAAGTATCCAAAGCCTCAGGTTTCGGCAATCAACACCAGTAAATGTGTTACCTTTTCTGTCTCCTCCTCTTTCTCTTTCTCTCTCCCCCTCTCTCTTTCTAATTCCGTTCTCTCCTTCCTTTCTGCCTTTTTCTTGAATATAGTCATAGAGATTTATTTATTTAATAAGCAGTTATTTTCTACTTCAGTTATAATAACCATCATAGTAATTACAGACTATTATTTTACTTATTGTTATGTGTATATTAGCCACTAAATCCAGAATTATTATCATAAACAATTTGAAATTGTTCTTTTCTCTCATTTAACATGTAAGAAATGAAGACAGCAGATGGTCAAATACCTTGTTCAGTCATGTTATATTTAATAGCAATGTTGTCATATCCACTTCACATCAGTCTACAAGTAATTTTATTGAGTCACATGTAAGTCCTCCAGCCCAGACTTTAACTTTTCAGAGGTTTTGTTGTGAAAAAAAAAACTCTCAATTTTGAATGTAGCATTTTTGTTTCAACGTATAGAATTTAATTTGTCTAAAAGCAAAATGGTACATATTTGATGAATGTAGGAAGATGAGTTTGCTACTATAGCTAGGTCACAAAGAATAAGTAGAATTTTGAAATATCAATCAGCGGTACAATATGACATCTCTGAGGACCCAAAAAGTGTAGACCGTACAAGTTATTGTGGTAGATATTTGATAGAACCAAATCATGAATTCTTGTGAATTTCAGATATTTTATTGACATTACTCATTGGAAACATGAAATGATATTAAAGATTTAAAATAAAGAAGCATTGTAAAGTATTTTGGATTTTGAAACATTATGATAACGTAAACCCAATGATCTGCTAAAGGAAGTGATTATACGAAATTGTGACTGAATCTAAGACAGATATTTAATGACTTGAAGTAGGGAGGTGGTGCTAAGGAACTTGTATGGTGGAAAAGATGTCATTAAAATGAGAAGTAGTAGAAACTAGAGAAATGAATGAATAGGCTATGTCTACATGGTGATTGAAATGTCAACTGTGATACAAATCAAGATACGACAAACAGCAGAAATTAGATAGAGAATAGTAAATTAAATTTGAAATTGGAAGGGAGATAATTTGGGGAAAGGAAGATAACTAGCAAGAAGGGAGGGACTAGAAAGGGATATAGGAAGTCAATATGAACAAAATACATGATATAACTGAATGCTGATGTCGTTGAAATCCCATCACTTGAAGAGTAATGAGCACTTTACAAATCTGTGATACAGAAGAACAGAGAGAGAAGGGATAGTTGGTTAATTTCAAATGATGATTAGAAAGAGGAAAAGAAGATGCACAGAGTCATGAGTTCTGGGCAGAACAGTGATACAGGTGAAGACTGGGTTGACCTGATCAAAAAAAAAAAAAAAAAAAAAAAGAGAATTCAAGGATAAATATGGAGAGACTGGAGTCCTGGGTGTGAGGACCAAGTAGCTAAATTAGTTCAAGCAGTTCATCTGGACCAGAAGAAAGGGGTCAAACAGTGACAAGCAAGGAATGTTGTCTTCGGTCTCATGACTTGTTCTACAGAGATAGTAGGGGTGCATGGAAGGTTCTCAGGAGAGAGGCATTTGGACCATGATTGTTTCCAGAGAACAATTATCTTAGCACTGAGTAATTTAAACAGGACCATGTATGGGCATTTTTTCTTTCCATTCTTTTTTTCTTATTTGCAGTGATAGAAAGCATTTCAAGGAGATAGTAGTAAGAAAAAAAAAAACAACAGAACCAAACTTAGAGGGATGCAGAGTCTTTGCAGAAGTACCACAGCAGAAACTGAAGGAGGCCTCAAAGTACTTGGTTTGCAAAGACTTTCAAATGGTAGGTCTCAAATTTCATTGTCCACTTAATGACTGATACTCTTAAAAATATTTACCTGTTTGTGTTTGATGCTGGTTATTTTTAAATATTTCTTTCTGTTACTCTGTCTGTAAAAGATAATTTCTTTTTTCAAATAATAACTTTACCATTTGACTAACCATCATTTTCTTCTGAACAGGTATTACATTAACATCACACTAAATTTATGGTAGACAATGACAATCCTGATAGTCAAATCTGTGTTATAGTCCTTGAGAAACCAAAGTCAATGACTATTATATTTTGTTGGGTTTTGTTTGTTTGTTGTTTTCAGGTGATATTCTCTCTAAGTCTGTGAGCATTCTGAGCCAAAGAGCATCTAGGAAACAAAATGTTGAAATTCTTCCAATGTCTTAAGCCATTTTAGGAAATATTTTAACTTCCTTGTGTGTTCTTGTGCTAGGTCTCTGGATTGTCAATATCACAGGCAACAACGTATGATTTCCAAGAAAACTAATACAAAGTGAGCATGCCTTCCTCATGCAACATTTCCTTTTAATTTTCTCAGTAAAATGCTTTACATCTTGTGCAATAGTTACAGCCTCTCCTTGAGACTCTCTCAGCAACTTTAAATGTTTTAATCAGTGTACTTACAGATTGGTCTGAGCCAGGAAATTAAACAAAATCATGATCAAGAAAAACATGAATAATAAACTAAAGCAAGAGAATTTTTCAGTAAAAAAAAATAGAAAAACTAGAGGCTTAAAATAAAGCAAATTTTTGGAGTAAGGTAAGCTTTAGACCACAAGTATATAAGAAGCAATGTACAGCAACCCAGTCTTGCTCAACATACAGTTTTTACAAAAAAGAGTCATACCCACTGATATTTCTCAACAGCCTTGGGACAAGAAAATACAATCAGTGCACTATGTCCTAGGATTTGGGTGATGGGTCTGAAATATGCAAACATAAGTTTTGAGTGACCCCTAAAAGTAACAGGTGAGGTCATATACATAGCATAAAAGGAGAAAATTGCAATAAAAAGAGTAAAATAAAGTAAACCACCACTCAAAAAGTAAAGACTAGAAGAGATCCTAGAAATCATTCATACAATATTCTTAAGTGAGAAAACTTCAAACCTGAGAGATTGTATTTTTGTCTGTGTTTTTTGTTTGTTTTGGTTTTTTGTTAGTTTTTAAATTTTTT